TCGATTCGGGCGACCGTTCGACGGAGTCCCCCTCTTTTTCTTCTTTTGCTCCCGCTAACAAGACTGATTTTGCATCGTACGCACCCATGGATGATAATGGCTGAGATTGGTGCTCCGAAGTTGTCTTGTCCGTATCGTGACAAATTATTCCTCTCTGCAAAGTCTGACTCCACGGGTTGTCCACTTGTTCGTCCGAGCCAGGTGAGGAGCACAACTCGGGGGGGAATGTGTTCTCGTATTCCCATGGATCGCCTCCATCTTCGGAAATATCATCTCGCGCATCGCCATCGTATCGAGCATCGGGTCCATTTCCAACCGTGCTAGTATCACCGGCGGTGGTGACGCGCATCAGCTGCTTATCCTCGGCCCTACTCCAACCGAAGATAACGCCACACACGAACTGTATGAAGCTATCCATACTGCCAGTCTGGCCGATTTTGAGCGCCGCATCGCGAGTATTTGTAGACAAGAAGTGCTGTTGGGAGGTGATGGATGAAAGGGCGATGTCGCGGATGAAATTGTCGAGATCTCGGCGGCGCTCTTCGTGTTTCGCAGCGAGAAGTTCCTCGAGGTGTCCACGATTCTCGGCGTGTTTTGCAGCAGCAATGATGTCGGCAAAATAGGCGTCCTCATCGAGGAGTGGGACTGCGATCGTATTGAACCGCCGCCAGTAGTCACCCCATATCATCTTTGGATCGTGAAAGTCCGGCTTAGCTATTCGTCTCCAGGCCTTGTTTTTCTCGTATGTCATTTTCGGCGGCTGGAAGGCGGGCATTATGTGATTCTGTCTTGGGTGTTGATGGTGGTCGAATCGTCGGTCGGGCGGTCGGGTCCGTCAGGTGTACGGGCGGATGTTATAAGTAGATGATAATGTGCAAAGTTCGATGCGTGTATTTACGTAGATGGTGAATGTGTGTAGAGAGAGGATGCTGCGGTAAGATGGATGGCCGGCTTGGAGGTTGGGCGGTGGAGAAGGTCCTATTTTTAAGTTTAGGGACTTCTTGTACGTGACGGATGACATGGTCCAGTCATCAGCCAGCCTTGGCACTGAATGCAACCCGTTCGAAGAGCGAGCGCGCGCTCTTCTTGGGTGCAGGCGCTAAACAAGCGCCACCTGTCTCCGGTCCGATACATGGGCGCAAGTACCTTGCCGGGCATTTCCTTGACAAGGTCTCGATGATTACTTATAACACCCTACCTTGGCCCGTATCAGAGTCGTAAAGGACTCCCGAAGCTATACTGCCTCACCCACTTGCCTTCATTATCAGGATGAGTTCCCTTAGCAGCGGATCAACTCAGGCTTTTAGCGACTCTGTCGATCTGCAACGCCGCATAGACCAGGTCAAGGCACAATACCAAGAAGACAGCCAATTAGCCGGGCAAAGTGAGACCTGCGCGGCAACGAAAGCAACAACGTTACCAACTCCTGGCAGTCTTGAGCTCACTGAAGTCATTGAGGCCTTTTCCAACGCATCTCTCGCCTCATTGCCTGAAGCTCGTCTCATATTCGCCTGCCACCGCCAACCACGCAACACTGACTCTGCCATGATTCCTTTGCCGCACAAAATTGGCGGGTGGAATATGGTCGGTGTGATACAGCGCACGCAGGACGTGAACTTCACTCTGTGCGTTCCTCTTAACGACCCTCCCTGCGA